GTCCAGTAGTTATAATGGTTTTTGCTTTGATCTTAAACTGAATAGCTTAGTGCCAGGCCCCTAGCAGATGAGTAAATCTTCTAGTTTCTCTTTAACTGGAGAAAAATGTGTTGTATGTGATGATGCACCACCCCACCTACAACCCTGCTTTTCAAAACCCTGGATCTTCCCGTGCCCTTGTGATACGTGGTCTGTTCACTGTAAACACAGCAGCTACAAAGGTAAACAGTAAGCACTGAGGAGATTCCTGCCAAGTGAAACATAGATGTTTCTGGGGAATCAACCCAAGCTAAGCCTCAGAGTAAGCTGCATTTCGGCTTGTGTACAGATCATTTTGATCCTCTTGCCACCCCTGAATGCATGAGATGCAGCTTGCATCTGCTCTGTGAGTGGGGTCCTTTAAACAGAGAGAGGCAGAGGAAGAAGAGAGCGAAGAAGCCCCTTGGAGGTGCAGCTCACTCTCCAACCCCCAAGGGTGGGGGAAGAAGTCCTGAGGGGGCTGCGTTTTGCAGTTTTGCCTTCCCCATCATCTTCCCCCTCTGTTTGCATTTCCTTCCCTTGAACTTTGCCTTGGTGACCAGGGAATGACAGCAGCAGCTGATGCAAGGAACTGCCTTCACCCTTTCACTGGGACACACATGTGTGTCACACTAAGGGAGAGGTGCACCCTGGGGCCACAGAGGACCCCCAGCCTTCAAGCACTCCCTTCCATGAGCAGGATAGGGTGCAGAGGAGGGACAGTCCTTGGTCCCAATCCTCTGCTAGGTTGCACTGTCTGCAGTCACGCACCCTGGCCGAGGTAGCATTTGGTTCATCTCCCTGTGAAATCAGTGACAGCTGTCATCCGTGGTATGGGTAGGAGGTCACATGTGGGTGTAAAACATGGTGGGGGGCACCTTGGACCACTGGCACACCCAGCTGGGGAAGGAGGGGAGGTTATGGCCAATCCAACCCCACAGCCTTACAGCCAAGCTGGTACAAAGAACTTTGTTCCTCCTGAGCTCTGAGTGCGAGTTGCATGGTGCCCAGTGATTAGAAGGCCCCATGTTATACTGATGTAACGAAGGGAAATCCTGGCAGCCATCCACAGAAGAGTCAGGCTCTCTCAAGTCGTGCTGCTCAGGAAGTCTGCTTGACATGTTGTGGCACAAAAATACAGCCATAAATTAGGCAAAACTCATAGGCAGTGCAAAAACCTGCAAGAGCCACTAGCGGCTTTCATTCGATTTAACTTTGCCTTAAAAACTGGCCTATAGCAAGTCCCGTAATGCTGCTGTGACCCTCCCAGTCACTTACAGGGCTTGATGGAACGGTCTGAAGACTTTTTACATGCCTGCAATGGCCTTTCATGCTACCTTCAGGTGCGTTTTCTGGCACAGAAGACCCAGCAGCACAGATTAATATCTCGAAAGTGGGGCATTGTTTTTTTTAAGTTTCGTGTCTCACGTCAAATCAGTTCTGAATTCTATCAACTGAGCAGAGCTCAATGGTTTAAGTCTGCAAGGTGCCACCACCGGCAAGTCTCCTCCCTCCCAGGCTCTTCAGCCTGGGGTTTCAGGTACTCCCAAATCCATGACAGGCATCCCACATGCAAGCCCCAGGCCCAAATCCATGGCAGGCATCCTATATGCACGCCCCAGGCCCAGAGGCCTTGGAGTTCAGATACCCCCTAGTCTTGCTTGCCCCAGCCAAAAGCCAAAGGAGCAAGCTAGAGGCAAAGCCCAAGAGTGTCTCCAAAGTGGCATTAACAAGCAACCCAGGGCACTTGGGTCTCATGCTCTGCCGTGTGGGAAAGGGTAGTTCTATAAATATCAAGGGAGCAGAAGTGTTAAGGTATATTCAGAGAGAAAGCCTGGAGACCCCTTGTCCTGACCTTTGCAAAAGTGTTTTCCTTGTTTGTGTTAAAGGTCTGGAATGCCTTCCACCAGCAAATCTCTGGAAAGCTTTCTGGGATTTGTAACGTAATTCAAACCTCTTGTCCAAAGACGTTTTGATATTCGGCAGGAAGGGTTTGGAAGGACGCCCTCGACTCCGCCAAAGTTCCAAGAACAACAAAGCTTTGGCGATAATGGACGTGCTTAGGCTAAGAAAACAACGTTAAGCCCGTGAGCTTTCGGCAGGAGCGATTGGCAGTCGAGGCAGCTCGCAGTGAATTTATATCTGCTGGTGAGACTGCTTCAATCATCTTGAGAAGGACAGGCCCCACCTTTGACAGGGGGAGGGTCTCAGAGACTCACTTCCAGCCCATGTTTGCCAGCTGGGTTCTTGTTTCATCTCAGATTCAATGTTTTTCCTCCATCTGCGTCAGCTATTTTTACACCCCTGCAACTCACAGATCACTTTAACTCTGCCCCATTTCATGCTGCCCTGGGTGCATCTACACGTGCATTAACGTGCTTTAGTTAATGCACATTAAATCTAGTACCTCCATTATGCGGAACTAAAAAAATGCACATTAGTCTGTCGTAACGTGCATTAACAAAAGAGCATGGTTTTTAAGTGACGCTTAGTGTGCATTAGCCTATTTTAGCACACATTAACTAAAACATGTTTGTTTAGTCATGCTGTAATGAGCATTGAAATTAGCTAATGCACATTAAAGTGCATGTGTAGTTGCGCCCGCTGTGTGCATGATGCCAAGTCACCTTGCGCTGTGCCCTCCAGGATGTGCATTTGCTAAGAAGAATTGCAACCAGGCACCCCTTGGTGGAAGGCTTTGAGTAGGGAGCAATTCGGGGGGGAAGTGCCACTGTCGTGCCCTACTCGGTAGCAAGCTTCATTTCACTTTAATGGAAGGAGGGGAAAGGGGAAACTTATTTTGACCTTTCCAACCAAACTTGAAACAAACAGCTGCATTTTCTGCCTGCTCGGCATGAACGCTTCACAGCAAGGACATCTCGAACACATGTCTTCTCTGAGAACAGGGCTGGCCAACCTCGAAGCAGCTGCTGCACTGTTGCACATGGAAACCCCAGCACCATGGGCTGCAAACCTGGAGCGGGGCATGGAGCAGAAGCCAGAGGAGGGAGGGGAGCCCAGACACCCCAACTGCTGCTGTAGCTGGAGTGATAAGGGCAGTGGGTGGGAGCCCAGGGGCTTCACATTAACCCCTTGCAGGCTGCCAGTTAGACAGCCCTGCCTGGAGCATAGGGTTGTAGAAGGACAGGGTGGGGAGGGAGGTGCAGCACTCAGGCATCCAACTCCCTGCTCAATGCTGGTGGCTGCCAGAACATTTTCTTCCTGCTCCTTCCCTGCCTCTCTCCTCTCCTGTTAGCATTGCCTCTTTAATTGCATTCCCCAGGCTGCCTTCTTGCAGGGTGGAGATAGGTCACTGTGTAAGTGTTCACAGCCGGCACTTCCCCAGGTATTTTAACTTTCCTCCATCCCTCCTCTGTCTGTGGGGGGCTGGCAGCTCCCTGCCCAGCACGAGTGCAGGAAGAGTGGGAGCTGCAGGGAATCCCAGTGTCGGCAAAGCTCTGCGCTGCGGGGCTCAGGACAAGTTTTTTGCACATGCTGGACTTCAGAGCAAGAAAACCACACGTGTGTGCTCAGTGCCTCCCCCCTGACTCACTGCTCTGGACAGCAAAGCAGAGATCAGGCCCTGAGCCTGCCGCTAACCCCCCGAGTCTGCCCTTTCACAGCAGGGCCTGATCCCAGACCTTCCCCTCAAACACTGGGAGCTTGGTTCTCATCTTAGCCATTTATACAAACCTAAGCCATACAGCCAGGAGCTCAGTGGGGAACCTCTCCTCTGGGCCCACACTTGGCAGCTCAGAGTCTGCTTGGACTAAAAGGGAAATCTTTTAACTAGTCCCTCTCCAGAATCCCCTTGCAAAGGCAGATTTCCTCACCAGTCGGCATAGTGCTGAGAGGCCCAGTGCTGCCACAAGGGCTATATTTAAATCCCAGGAGCCTGACAATCTTCAGCGGACAAATAGCAGTTTTTAAATGTGTTTTCCCCACAACCCAGAAAGCTGTGCTCCCTTCACTGATGGTGCTGGACTGTTCTCAGCGGGGGCAGGTGACAGGACAAGGAGCAATGGGCTCAAGCTGCAGCAAGGGAAGTTGAGGTTGGATATGAGAAAACATTTTGTCATTAGGAGGGTAGTACAACACTGAACCAGGTCACCCAGAGAGGTGGTGGAGTCTCCATCCTTGGAGGAAGACCCGGCTAGACAAAGCCTTTGCTGGGATGATGTAGTTGAGGCTGGTCCTGCTTGGAGCAGGGGGTTGGATTAGATGTGACCTCCTGAGGTCCCTGCCAGCCCCTGTTTCAATGAGTCTGTGACTGGACGAAGGTTCAGCCTGGGCAATGGCAGTGCCTCCCCCAATTCCACTGTTGCTTCAGCTGGCTTTGGTGGTCCTCTCCCCCTGCCCCGGTCTGTAGCTCCCATGCAGCTCAGCTAGTATGGTGCTCAGTGGCCTTTGGCTTTGGGCAGCCCAACCCAATCCATGCACACATAATAGCCTTGGACTTTTGAAAGCATTTTCTTGCCTACAAAAGTAGCTGCACAAAGCCATGTGCAGTCATGCTGCATTTGCCAACAGGGACTGCGGGCAGGACATCCCAATCCAGCTCTCCCATTCCTTCCTCTGCACTGCTGGCCTGGAACCAGTCCAGGAGCATCAGCAAAAGCTAGATTTGCTGCCCCTGATCCCCAGGACAGCACGCAGGAGGACAGATCATCATCTCCTTTACACCAGAGGATATCTGGAGTTGTTGCATTCAGATGCATAGCCCTGTATCTGGTGCAGGGTCTCTGTGTTTCGGGCTTTCAGCATTTGAAGACAACAATACATCCAAGTTAGAAACCCACATTTAAGAGCCGCGTTTACTGAGCAGCTCGCTCTGTCCCAGGGCTGTACACGAGCAGAGGTGTCTCTGATGCTGTTTCCCAGCTGTGCATCTAATAAGTGCTGACAAGCCTGGGAAATGCCGGCAGAAAATCATTTCTTCCCTCAGTTAGCTTGACTTGAATTGTTTCTTTGTCTGCTCACAGCTGCTGTTTCAGGAGAGTAACCCAGGGGTTCGCTACCAATACACCATCCGCAGGGAGTCTGATAACGAGAACGAGATTCAGCCGGCAGAGTTTTTCTGGCACTACGGCTCCTGGACAAAGTGCACCGCGACCTGTGGGACAGGTATGTCCATCAGTCCTTCCATGCTGGGGGGCCCGTGTAGGCTGGCAGTTCTGTTCCCACATGCTGCTTTCCCAGGCTGTGTTGGACCTGCTGGAGATCCGCGTAGCACTGGTACGGCACATCCTGTTTGATGTTGCAGCCTTCTTGGCTGGTCCACCCATCTTATCTGCGTCTCCCTCAGAAAAGTTGGCACGACCACTGGAATTTACCAGGAAGGGATTCCAGTTTCCCTGGAGCCCGTGTCACCTCCTGACCTGTGGTCATCTCAAACACCCAGGCCATCTAGAAGCCCGGTCTAATGCGTTGCATGAAAGGAACCAAAGTGCTTAGCCCATGCCACATTTTGCATTGCGATGCAGGAATGGCACAGCCGGGGGTTGGCCAATGTCTGTCCTAAAAACTTTGGACTTTCATTTCACTGGGGCTAAGGAAGAGACACATCTGCCCAGCCATAGCCCTGCTGAGCACCGCCGTGGGGAGTCCTCGCAGCTCAGTGCCAGGTCCTGAGTCCACTTTGGTTGTTCGGAGGTTCCCGGGACTTAAGACAGATCAGTCCTAGGGGAGTCAGATAGGCATCCCTGGGTCCGACATGGATTTGCACAGCACCATTTTAAAAAGGCTGGTGCAGCTGCTTTGCAGAGGCTCAAACCCCAGAGGTTTAGTGGGGACTTCCCATCTGCTTTCACCTCCAAATCTGCAGAACATGCAGGGCAGAGCTTTTATCCCAAGCCCTCTCCAGGTCCCTGGTCCCCTTTTTTCTGGCTTTCCCCCTAGGTTTCCTTCCACCTCTTTTCCACCATGTTGTTTGGATGGGATGGATGGATTTGTGGTCAGGTGCATAGTCTTGAGGCCACGCCCAGCATTGCCCTGTACTCCAGGGGTTCCCGGTGGGCACATGTGCCTAAACAGGGCCCTCCAAATGTGTTTGTTGGCCCATTATCTGGGGTTGGCTGGGCAGCGGGTTGGCAGCTGTCAATTCATACTGACAGCTGTTAATCAATTTACTTTCTGCTCCCAAACTGTTTCTTTAAAGTGACAGTTCCTCCCCACTCTGCTCTTCTATGCTGATAAAGAGGGATGCCATGTCCCTTTTATATGGCACAGCAGCTGCAGATAGGGCATATATTTCTTGGGGGTGGAGAAGGGAGTCCTTTGCAGGTAAATCCTGATTATAAAGCTGTTTTGCTGGGCTGTGTCAGGCTGTGCATACGTGGCTGGTCCCAGTGAATTCCCAAACAGCAGCAGTATGCAGACGATTTATTCAGCAGCTGGGGTGGGTGATTGTGTGCATGTTTGTGTGCACATGTGTGTGCATGCATGTGTGTTCAGCTGTGTAAGGATTTTACAGAACTGCCCATCCAATATGATGAAAGCTGAATGTTGAAGTATCTGTTACTGAGATGGAGCACATACCCCAGCCAGGCTCATGCAATATTTTGCCATGTCTTTGAACCTTAAATTTGTTGGATATGATCCCCTGGCTTACTCAGGGTGCTAAGTCTTTGAAGAGAGCGCATGCTTGTGTGTGTTTGCATGTGTGGTCCTTTTTATCTCATTGCCAACTTCTCTGAATCAACAGAAAACTTTGGTTTTTATTCTACTCCATAAACAGAAATCAGAAGAATCTGCCTCTTGCTTTGCTGCGGGCTTTGCGTTTCACTAACCTCTGATGTATCTCGGTCAGGGGTTGTGGCAGAGAGCACAGCACTGGGCCTTTGTACAAACCACGACCTGAAGGTATAACTTGGGCTTGGGGGAGCTGCCTGGCAAAGAGGCTCATGTCTCAGTGCCGAGTTTGCAAATGTGTGAGACTGGTTCAAGGGACACTGCAACCAGTGTGAGCCCATGCCTAGTCCTGCCCTGCTTGCAGCTCCATCCATCCCAAAGGCATTGTGGAAGATGCTGCAGTGGCTTTAGCGTTTCGTAGTGCACAGAGCGAGTTACCTGTCTGCACAGGAGGTTTGGGGAAAATCCTATGCCTGGCTTTGCTACTTGTTCCTCACACTCACTGGCCACTTGTGCATTCACTAACCCCTGTGTAGAGTCTTTGGAGCCCTAGCACTGCCTCGCATAGGTGCAGTATTTTGAAGGGACATATTCAAACCTGTTGCAATGATGAGTTATGGCAGGGAGCAGACGCGTCCATTCTTTTCATTGCATTATTTTGGACTCTCCCCGGCACCTTCGTTCTCTGGAGGAACAGTTCTTCCTGCCCTGCAGGACTGGGTTGAAATCTATTTGTAACCAGATCGGTCTCAAGTTCCATTGTGAGAACTTCAGCAGCCTACACAGCCGGCTTGTACTGGTCCCCGGCGTCCAGCACGCCGAGGCGTCCAGGCAGCACCCTTGCAGGAAGCACCAGGTACATGCCTTGCACATATTTTTGCAATGTCCAAGAGGTACAGATTTCATTTTTAAATAAATGTTAAAAAAAAAGAGCATCTGATTCCAGTGCATAAAGACAGAAGTGCCTGATCTGTCCTCCCACTGGAGCCAAGGGGAGATTTTTGCTGTTATCACATTAGTCTCGAGAATTTTTTAATAGCTAGATGTATACGTATGTTTATATGTGCACACAAATGTACATGCATATGTTTGTACATTTATATGTTGTGTGTGTACACAAGCAATCATTCTCTTCCTCTGTGCTATGCGCACGCATGCACACACACACACACACACACACACACACACACACACAGAGTGAAGTTGCATTTCCAACAGTCAGAAGGAGCTTTTGCCATACAAGAGAACTTCACCTTAGACTCCCATTGTTAATGATGAGGGTCCTAATTGCTCCAGTGGCCAGTGCCTGCTGCTTCCCTGGTACATACCCTGCGCTGAGGAATTCTGGAGTAACCTGCTTTCAGGGAGAAGTTTCCTTGCAGCTTGCAATACTTAGTGGTTGGCTCCTGCCCTAGCATACAACTGTTTGATGCTCTTCACAAAGTTTTGCAGGTATTTACTGCTGTAACTCTGGGCATTGGATCTCAACCTCTGTTTATACTGGGGCTTGAAACCTCACCTCCCTGTGGTAAGGGTCCAGTAGGAGGAGGAGAGCTTCATATCCCAACCCAGCATTGAACTGGGGAGCGTTTACATGTTTCCATTCATCATTTGACACCAGAGGTGGGGAAATAAAGTGGGCAGACAGAGACACCTGTCCACACCCCTGAGCCTACACCATTTATACAGCAGAGAGAATCAAGAGTTACACCACTGAAGTCCATGGAGATGCATGGGTGGGGAAGTGGTGAGAGATCAGAATCTGGCCGGTCAGCTGCAGCAGGGAACGTGCCCGCGTCTCAGGAGGCTGTTAGTGCCACGCTGCATGCACACGGCCACCTATTCCTATACCAGAGGGCTCCATTTCTGCCTTGTCCTCTGCCCTGTGTAAGGGAGCAGCGCGTGCCAGCATTTCTCCAGAGGCAGAGATGAGACCAAACGGTGACTCGAAGCACTGGTTCTCTCACCAAATGCCAACCTTCAGCACCAAACCCACGCAAGAGTCTTGATGACGAAATTCAGCCAGGTGCTCTAGGAGGGTTTGTCACTTCAGCAGGAACCTGCAGTGACATGTTCACTCCATCACAGCATAATGCAAAAGTCAAAAGTCAGAGTTGAAACCTGTGCTGTGAGAAGGAGCAGGAGATAGCAAAGCAGGTCATGGGACACAAGATGGTCCCGAGAAATGTTCCCCTCCAACCACCGTGGAATAAAAGCAAAAAGGTGGATCTGTCTGGTGAGCTGTCTCCGTGCCAATCAGGGATTTTTGACACCATTTCCAAAGAAAGGCTTTAAAAAAACAAAACAAAACAAAACGGTCTTAAAAGCAAATTACCAGCCTGGCAACAGGTGCTAGCACCATGCATGCCTGGGGACACCCAGCTGGCTTCCACACGGTTACCTTATGGGCCCAGGGAGCAATACCACTGTTTGTTTTGGAAGTTGGACAACCCACTGCTTGCTCCTTGGCTGGTCGTACGTGCCTGAGATGGAACGGACTGGGTCTGCAATCCACATGGCCAGGTCATCACAGGAATAGCCCCTTGGAGCATCACTGCCGTGTCAGGGCTGTTTCCTGGTAACCGAGCTGACCTCTGCCCACAACCAGCCCCTCTCCCAAGCCAGGAGGCACCATAGCAGAAGTGACAGAGCTCAGCAGCTCCTCTGTTAGCCCGAAATGCCCCAGGGAGGGACCGGGGCAAGGCAAAGCAAAGCCATGATCTCTTTCCTACCTGGGCTTACAGAAATGGATAGCAAACTGTCCCAGAGGCGTTGTGTATGGTACATCTCTTCACAACCCTTATCACTGGGGGGGACCTCTGGGGCACTGTGTAGCCCATAATATTGCATTAGCACCCTTTATGCCAACCCCGGTTGACCTCTTACCAGTCCTCTCAGGCATTCCCACCCCACAACATCTGGAGACAAGCTGCTGCCCTGGCCCTAAGCCTCAAAGCCCAAGATCCAGACCATTTTTTGTAGTCCAGCCTAGTAGCCACAAGCCAGAAAACCAATGACCACCTGAAGTCTTGGAAACCATTCTCTGCTCAGGCCAATAAGTTTGTCGTATCTGCAGATAACCTCTCACCACAGCATGGACCTCCCCTCAATGAAGCAGGAAATACATTGCATGTGAACTGCGGCCAGAGAACTTCATCCCCAACACCAGCATCTGCCCCTCAGGTTGGCAGCTGCCCCGCTGGGCCTGGACTGCTTTTAGCCATCTCAGAATGGGTATTGGATAGTTTTAGGCGAGCATGCACCCTTGAGGCCTCTCCAATGATGCTGGCTGCAGCTGTGGTGCTCAAGCTCAGACAGCTGACCACATCATCTGCAAGAGCCCTTACAGCCCTCCCTCGGGCACCCAAGGTCTTATGGATATTGATCATTCTACCTGTTGCTGGCTTTCTGGCTGTCATGCTTCTGACATACGTGTGTGGTGACACATGGTTCAGCAGCATCAGTAGCACCCCATTAGCCTGTCACCCCACCCA